CTGGGCTCCACGCACACATGGAATGGGGCGGGGGGGGCACGACCTCCTGACCCAGCTGGGGCCAGCCCTCTCCTGCCCTGAGTTTCCCAGGGGCCAAGCCAGGAAGCCAGGAGAGGCTGAAGCAGGAGCTGGACCCATCTGCTGCCCATGCCAACCAGCCTCATCCTTGAAAGCCGCCTCAGGTCCCTCCCAAAAGCAGGTGCACAGTGACTTCTTCCAACAGGAAAAGGCACAGGCTCCATTCCAGTAGAGCCTGGGGAGGGCGGACAGGGAAACTGAGGCACATGGCACAGACACACAGCCACGCTGGGCAGGGACTGTATTCCTGAAGGTGACACGCGTCCGGGTCATCCAGGACACAGCCTGTCCTTTCTTCCCCAGCCCCAAACCCCCAGTGTCCAGGGCAATAAATATTCCCCAGGCTACTACACGCAGAAGCCCCCAGCCCACCGCCTCCCCTGGGCATCACAGCTCGGTCTTCACCTTGTGCATCAAGTCCTTCTGGTCGATTTTCTCCAGGTCCTGATGCCAGCGGTTGTAAGCCAGCAGGGCCACGTTTTTGGCCGCCACCGCTATCATCTCCATGGAGCTGGCCACCCACTCAACGCTGCTGAGGTAGAAGAGGTTTTCGTGGAGCACAATGGGTGGGAGGGACTTGGCAGCATCGTAGCGGGGATAGGCCTGCCACTCCGTCACCTGTACTGAGTAGTAGGACCTGAAGAGGGTCTTCAGCTGCTGCTTGTCCAGCGGCTGCGGGGAGAGGACACGCCACACTGCGGCCTCCTGGGGCTGCTTGCGACGGAAAGCTGCCGAGATGTTGACAGGACAGATGTTGTCCATGGCGTTGAAGAAGAGGTCGGGGCTGTCAGTGGTGAGGATGCTGGCAAAGGGGAAGAGCTTGGGGTCGGGGAAGCCGAAGTAGGAGGAGTTGAGGTAGCCATGCACCACGGAGGTGACAGAGGGCTGGAAGGCTCCGGGGAAGTCAGCGATGGGTGGCTCAAAGTTCTTGAAGGTGAAGTTGCTCCGGCTGGGATGCAGGGGAGTCGTCACCACCACCATGTCATAGAAAGCTGAGCCCTGGCCTTCACTGCCCTCATAGTGCACTTGGTACAGGGCTCTCCCCTCTGAAACGAGATGGTGACTGTTAGGAGCAGCCTATGTGGGACAAGGAGGACTGGTGCAGAACAACCCCCACACCAGAACCCAGCTATCCAGCCCTTCTGCTCTGCTGGAAGGGGGAGCAAGCCTGCAACAAGGACGAAGCCCTAGAAAAGACCTGAGAAACCTCAGAAGGGAGAGGAAAACCTCAGGGCTGAGGTCTGTGCTGCAAAGCCCCCACCAGATTAAGACAAAGGAAGGAGATACAGACCCCCTGGCCCTTGCCCAGATACTTTGCCAGGTCCAGGACACTTTCCAGCCTCCCAGTGCACTTTCTCTGTGCCAGTATCTCTGTGCTGCCACCACCGACCTCCCACCCTCACGCACCCAGACACACACCCAGGCCGGCGGCACCCAGAGCAGGCCCCGCGTCCAGGCTTACCTGAGCTGTGTAGAGAGACGCCCGTCACCCTGGCTGGAATAATGTTGGCTTTGGTCAGCTTCAGCAGACCCGAGCACACCAGCTTGTTGCCTCCTTCCACCGCCCAGGTGCTGCCCTGGGCCCCCGCCAGCGACAT